TCTCTCTCATCTCTCTCATCTCTCTCATCTCTTTCTCATCTCTCTCATCTCTCTCTCCTCTCTCTCCTCTCTGTCTCTCGTCTTTCCGTCTCTCTTCTCTCTCTTCTCTCGCAGGAGGATCCGGGCAAAGAGCCACATATAAAGGACTCTTCACCCCTGCCTCCAAAAAGAGCGCCGTGTTTTTTCCTACCTCGCTGCCCTCCACTTTCCCATTCTGGAGCGCTAGCTTTCGCCCCCCCCCTTGGCCTCAAGTCTGCTCATAGGCTTTTGGGGGTTGTAAAAGCACCCACAGTTTTCATGCTCCGCTCCAGAAACCGCGGCTCCGTCTTACCGACTCCGGCGTCCCGGAGTGGCTCCGTCTGACCGTCCGCCCAGCTCCACCGTTTTCGGTGAAAGGCGGTCTTGAAGAGTTCAACCCTTCCTGGGCTCGGAGGTGTTTGGAAAAGCCTTCGACTTTTCGGTTCGGTGACCACTTCAAGGGTCGAACGGTGCTTCGATCTTAGGTATGTGACCTTGAAGCACGGCGCTGACAAGGCGCGGGCGGAGCACGCGGCCTTGAAGTCCGGTGACACGGGTGGAGCACGTCTCTTCTCCTCCCGGCTGTCCGGAGCATTCGTGACCAGGGTTCCTGACCGACCTCGTCACCTGCCCAGCGGGACCACGGGAGAGGAGTCCAACGTCGTTTCGCGGATGTTGGGTCCAACGGAATACCGTTCGCCTTCCAAAAGCATGCGAGCAGAAATGGAACGAAGACCTGTGAGCTTAGCTGTCGTTTTTTTCGATCAGTCCAAACAATGGTCTCTTCGGGACAACCCGACCGTTTTCGCCGAAAACTCCTAAGACTTCGGACGGGACGCTCGATGACTTCGGGAGCTGACCAACGGCAGGTTCGTGTGTGGAGGACTGGTTCGTGCACGGCCGCGGGGTGCACGGCAGGTGATCGTCTTCGAGCGTGGCGATTTGCTGTTCGTCTTCAATTTCCATCCCTGCAACAGCTGCTTGGGGCGGTGAAGCCGTGTTTTTCCAACCTGCTCGGGTTTTCAATCACCTGTGACCCACCGTCCTGTTCCAAAGACCCTCCACTGGAACATCACTGAGGCTATGATGGATACCAACTGGGCTGCATGTGGAATGAGCCCATGCGAACCATCCTGGACACCGATGAGGCAGCTGAGAAGTTACAGTGCTTTTCACTCCTGGCTTTTCGCTGAGGGAGCTTTTTGATAGACCTCTCCACACGAGCGAGCTGGATCCTTTTTTTTGTGACTTTTTGCGACTGGTGGGGCTGGGGGCGGCTGGGGAGGGTGTTGTGGTTGATCTATGGGTGTGCATGAGTAGAATTTGGAGACCATCCCTACAGGCAACGACCCCCTGGAAGAAAGAAAACAGGGAGTTTCCCCATTCAAATGCAGACCCATGTTTTGAATTGGTAAGTCTGCTACACCTTGGGGCTTCTGAAGGTGTAGGAGCTGATGCAAAGGCTCAACCACACCAAACAGACTTTGCAGCACCCTTACAAGAAGCCCTATCTTCGTGCCTTCTATCATCTATCTATAGCTAGGGAAAGTGATCCAACCCTCCCAATGTCGGAGACAGTGGGCAAGGACGTTTTACAGGGACTACTACCCCTCCGAACTTGGAACCGGGGGTGCCGATGGAACTGCTGCTTTGAAGCCAGCGTCCATCGGAGCCTTTTGTATCGTGGAAGGACTGTACTCTGGGAGTTCAAAGGGGACTTTCCTTTACACTCCCTGAAGTACAGGGTACAGTCCTGACTGAAGGACGGTACCGTGGAAGGACTTCCGAACGGTTTGAAGTAAAGGGGACCTGATTTCGAGACTTTCCTTCACACTCCCTGGAATCACCTCGAAAGTGGATGGCATGGCCCCGATCCGGGAGGGCCCCTTCTTGGAACACCAGGGTCTTCACTAAGGAGGCTAGGCACCTCAGTAGCCTCCAACAGGGACTGAGTTGAGGGTTCTTGAGCCCAAACAGGTCTTCATTTGACCTCTAGAGTCGGGTCCTGGTATAGTCTTTGCACTTCGAATGACTTGATAGACCATCCCCGACTGCATCATCCACCGTTCCGCCTGTCCGTTCCGCCCACCGCAAAGCTCGGCGCAACGCGAGGGGCGCTTTGGAGGGCATCAGCGACTGGAGTATGGCCATGGCAATCCTTTTCCACCCATGTGCCTTGCAAACTTTGAGCTGTTGGACCGACTTCGTACGCGACGGTTTTCTCTGCGTACTCTACTCCACGTCGAGAGGTGTCCCAAAGAACCGCGGTCTTTCCACAGGAAGCAAAGGTTGGAGGGTAGAGTGTGACACATTTGGATACATTTGGACTTAAGGGGGGTCATTCTCCCAATAGCTTTTAGGATCTCTAGATCGTCCCCGGCCCCTAATGTCGGCTGTTGATGAGTAAAGCCCCTCACACGAAGAGGACTTACAACGGGTGGGTTTATGAATCAACAGTCAGATCGTGTATATAACCCTACCGGGACCCTACCGGGACCTGGTAGGCGTCAAAGACTTCATTCTACAGGAGCTGGTCATACAAAAGCATGACTCACAGAAGGTCCTTTGACCAGGTTTCCCTGGGTCGGACTGGACTTGGAGGGATTTGCAGCTGATCATTGGGGGTGGCGCTGGTGGGGTTTCCCATTTCAGTCTCCATTGACACATGAACCAAAAAGTGATCTGTTGAGGTCCATAGGCCACGAAGGGGAACCCTCAGCCGAGCCACAGATTTCTAGCATGGATCTGAAAAATCTGCTGGCCCTGTCGGGTGTGCTCTGGGTGCGATCCCCCAAGTAGCTTAAGAGAGGATGCAAGACTTTATGGGACCCTACACCAGGACCCGACTCTACAGGTCTCTGAAGTGGTGGCTGAAATGCAGACTTGACAGTCGTGAAGTCGGGAGCTGGCAGCAGTACATCATATGGGATAGGATCGGATAGGCTAAACAGGATCTGTTCAACTTCTCCAGGTACCTCAGGAAGTCCGGGCGCTCGAAAAGCACTGCGGCAGCGGCCAAGTCCATGCCCTCCCGAATCCACTCCAAGTGACCACAGTCCGACGTTCGCATTTGGCCCAGTTCATGGTCATGTGGTCAAACTCCTGACCGCGCGCCGAGCGGAAAGAAGAGTTGACTGACTGGAGGAGCGACCAATCATCGGCATGGCATCGGCATGGGACCTTACCACTTCTTCCGAATTGGAGTTTCAGACCTCCCAAAAACTGAACGCCACATTGCTGTGACCACGGGGTCGAGACGTGTGTTCCTCTAGGCATGGCGCGCACAGCCGCAACCACTCAGTGCCCTGACCGATTTCAGAAGCGGAAGTGAAGAATTCCAGAAGGGTGGAGGGATGGAAGGCAGTGGCATTCTGCTCATGGTCAGGAAGAACCATGGTCGCCTTTCTTTTTTGACAGAAGAAAGGCGGCCAAAAGCATTGGACTTTGAGCTGTACTGCCCTCGAAGGAAGGTGGTGCTTTTGGGTTTAGGTGCTCCAGTGCTCCAGGGACCTTCTCAGCACGTGGTGTAGACTCTTGATTTATAATAGTCACCCTATGAAGAGGTTTTGCAATCCAAACGCGGGGATTTTTGCCAATTAAGAGTGTACATTATATGCATGTCATGTTTGATGTTGGTCTGCGGTGCTTTTTGAGGCTCCCCAAGGTCTTTTGGTGAAAGACATTTAATGCCTCCTGTGTCACCCAGAACATGCGACAATCTTTTGGCCCAACTCAAAAGCCATTCGGCCAACTTTTGGCCCAACTCAAAAGCCATTCGGCCAAATATAGCCAAATGGGTCTCCCTATTCTGAGACACATCCAGACACATGGATTTTTGGACACTTTCTGAGTGCTTCGAGAAAACCGACTTCGGAGGTCTCTCTAGACGCTTCGACCGGGCCAAGAGGGAGGAGGACGGCGAAAAAAAACCGAAGTCTCCACTGTCCTGCGCTCCGGTGCTCCACTGGCTTCCGTCCCTTTGAGATTCCTTTGGGATCGCACGATCCCGCACATGCCAGAAACGATGCCTCACCGTGACGGGCCGTGACCCTCCAAGCTTCCAGACGCGTACGGCCGACCACATGGGTACTTCACGACTCTTTTGCCGACCTGCTTTCAGAACGGGCCGACGGGGGCCTTGCGAACACGGGGAAGAACACCGGATCTTCGGGTCTGCCGGGTCTTCGGCGCCTCGGTTTCAGGTGAAGATGTACTTGCCGGCGCGAACTGCCCAAGTCTTGGTGAGAGACAGCCTCCTTCAAGGTGCGACCCAGTCGAGGGACGGCGTAGCGGCGTAGGGTCGTTTTGGGTGCAGTCAAGGTGCCTTTAGCTGTCGGCCGTGGTTCAGAACGGGATGCGTAGGGGCATGCGTGGGGGTGGAGGCGCAGTGGGTTTGGGGGTTCTCGGTCGATTTCCTTGCGATACATGGATGTGAGTCAGATGTTGGCCCAGCTTGGCGGCTTGGGGGTTCATTCACGAGAATTTGAGGGAACAGGTGTGGATTCCCTGCACGTCAAAGACATCACTTTACTGAAGTTGATCATACAAACTCACTACTCAAGGAGGTAAAGGACCAGGTTTAGGTTTTGCTGGGTCTTTGGGGACCTGTAGGCATATTTTTCGATGAGCCACGGTGCAAGAGCCAGTTCTTATTCTATTGTGCCACAAGCCTTTATTTATATGGTCTCTTTATTTATAGGCTTGTGGCCCTTCATTTTACTTACATCTTACCATTGATTTTCATAAAGTAATAATCTCTTAATATAATGAAAATCAATGGGGCCTTTTTTATAATGTAAAATCACTTATTAATAAAAAGGCCAAGATATGAATGATAATCCCAAGACCAACACTATTTATTTCTTTATTTCTTTTGGTTGAAGCTTTAGGAGGATCGCAATTTCTCACGAAGATTAGGACGATTGCAGGTGACAGGTTGGCCGGGCGTGATGGAATCTACCTGGACTATCCTGTCTGGGTGTGGCTGGACATCTAAGTAGTGGGGGCTGGGTAGTCCAGCCAGGACACCCAGATGGTCGGATGATTCTGGTAGAAAGACCGGAGTTTGGTCAGGCCGTTGTGGCCGGTCAACTGCTCTCATTACGGGTCGTAGTTGGGTGCTGCCCTCTGGGGAGAGGTGGCTTCGGATTTTCTTTATTTCGTTTTTTTTCACCCCGTCTCACGTGCTAAAGGAAGGAGATGCACCGGGATCTTTCATACAAAGACCGCAGGTGTGGCCTCGGTGCGATTTGGCCGCGAGAAACAGAACACACACCTACTAGGTGTGTGTGCCGTTCAACCAAGGGCAGCAGCGGTTTAGGGGTGGAGGGAGGATGTAGCAAGTCGGACGTAGCTGGGCAGCTCAGTCGGACCCTCCAAGCTCTTGATACCTTTTAGAAGAATGCAACAAGAAGAATGCAGCAAGGGTCCCAGAAGCCGGACGCCGAATCGGGCATCGGTTTCCCCGTCACTGATGCTTGTACCCCCCCCCCACCCTACAAGTGCCCATTCACTCGACCCGGTGGTGGTGGTGGTGGTGGTGTGAAGCCGCCGAGCCGTTTGCGGAGCCGAAGAAGGCTCGTGCTCTCGTGCTCGGTCAGGTGGTGTGAAGATTTGGATGGATGGCAGCTTTTTGTCGTATTGGAGTCTCCCCACGTGCGTCCCTTGGAGAACCGAACGTCCGGAGAACGACCGGTGACGCCCAGTGGGAGTGAAGGCGAACGGTGGGAGTGGTGACCCAGGATTCCGAAGCGTAAACCAATGATAAAGACCAGAACAGAACGTAAAACTGGTTGGAATCCCACAGGGTTCTTCCAAGGACATGTGCCACGTGTTGTTGGGGGATGACTGGGTTGGTGGGGTTTCCAATTTCCTCAGTCTCCATTGACTGTACATGAGGCATATGGGGAAGGTTGGAAACCAATACTTTGGAACACCAGCCACGTGCCAGAAAATGAAGCATCTGTCAAGTTGTGAAAAGGGTGCCAATTTAGGTGTATAAAAAAGGCAAACACAGTTCACTTGGAGGGCTGGATCAGCTACTACATAGCTTTTCAAGCAAGCACTTCAGTACATCATCCATGGGTTCCTGGGGTGAACAACCGTTTCGTTTTGATTTCATCGTTCTTCTTCCCAAATCATGGCCATGCCATCCACCTAACCAAGGATGATTCATGATGATTCTTTCAGGGAGTGTAGACTCTTGATGAATCACCACACCATTTGGATGGTGTGTCACCTCTTTGACCTGACTCAGGAGGGGATGAAGCTTTCCTTGCAGACCTGGAAGGATGGCAAGCAGGAGACCGAGCCGACCTCGTGTCACCGGTTCCACCCCGGTTCCCCCGGCGGGTTGAAACCGCGCCGGTGGAACCGAGCCGGCCGCCCGCCGCCCGCCGCCCGCCGCCTGCATGGTCTTTTCCGTGGCGTTCGGCTCCGGTTCGGCTCCGGAGGGGTGTCGATCGAGTCGAGACGTGGGAGGCCATGAGGTGCTTTCTCTTGTGAAACCGTGAGATGGTGTCAGCACCTGATATGGCTGCATGACACAAAGCAAGTGGAGAACACATGTGAGAAACGTGAGAAAGGATTCATTACTCTGCAGTTCGTCCCGCAGGAGATGATGGACTTTGACTTCAACGACGCCGGTTGCGTGGCACGGGGGCTTGGAGAAGCAAACGCGGTGGACGAAGGAGTAGAGCGGGCGAAGAGAAAGGGCCAACTTTCGCGAGCCAGGTTGAGATGCGGAATTCTTCACCGATGTCTCAAGTGACTCAAGAGCATGCTGGTGGCAAAACTGAACGTCCATTCTTGAAAAGCAAAACTGAAACTACCCTGAACTCCATTCAAAAGCAAACTAAAAGTCACTCCCATTCTTGAAAAGCTACCCTGAACTCTCTGTTGCAGGAAGTGACTTTTCGGGGGGGAAGAGATGGCAAGAGTTGACGTTGGTTTCGAAGCACCATCAGAGTGTCTTTCGCGAGTGTCTCACTTGGGTCTTTTTGCCTTTTCTTTAGGTCCCAAACGGAGGCGTCGCCTCCGGTCTCTGCAAGTCTCCGCCCGCTGAGGAGCTGGGCTTGAACTTTGATGCCACCTTCCGCATCTTGGATGCGACCGGCCAGGAGACGTCGCCGGGGACGAAGCCACCGATGTAGCCATGTGACGTGACCGGTGATTTAACATTTGTGACCGGTGCATTGATTTATTATAAGTATTGTGTTATTTGTGTTTTGTTTTGTTTTGGTGTATTGATGTATTTTTAGGTACATATCTTATGCAACCATGCGACTCGACTTTACACCAGGAAGTGCTTCACCAAAAGACCACCTGATACAACACTGTGCGCCAGAAGTGCTACACCAAACCTGTTGTTTCCAGGTACATTCAAGCTCAAACCTGGAGCTACCAAACTACCAGCAGTGAAGCCCTTCTCTGTTCAATCCATCGCCAACTACAACGGCTCTTCTCATGGAACCGTCTATATACATCGAAGCCGACGAAAGCGTGTTCCGAAAGAAACATAGAATATAGAAAGATAGTAACAATATATATATATACACAGCCTGGAAGTCCAAGACCATTGTTAAATGGTTGATCTGGTTTTGTAGTGTAGTGTCAAATCTTAGTGAAACAATGGTTGTTCGGTAAGGGCGATTAAGTAATGGTGGTTCGACTTCTAGGGTATATATATACACATTGAATGGGTGACCAGAGAATGTAAGTTATTGCTATTATCAACAGCTTACATTGGGTCCATGTAGACTCCTGAAAGCCTTCAACTGACTGAAGGATCGGTCAAGTCTGATGGGTGATTCTTCATCATTACCCTTCTCACAAAAAGAACCAATCACTGGTTGAATTCTAAGATCTATTTACATAGAGTCCGCTGGACCTAAGATTGATCTGCATAGCAGTAATAAAAGCAAGAATCAACAATAATAGTAGTAGTAAGATGTAATAAGATGTAATAGTAGTAATGAGAAGTAATCAACAACAACAGCAATACTAGTAGTAATGAGATGCAATAAGAAGTACATAACAAAAACAGTGTCCTTCTCTCAAGTTCTGTTGTTTCATCTTCGGTTCAAGGCAAAGAGGGCCGATGGTTGAGCGTCCAATGGCCGCAGAAAAGCAGGGATGGGAACCTGTTCAGTGAAGTTCAACGAGCAAATGACACCAATCCCAACAGCTTGTTGCTGGGCCTGTGTTGGTTGGTCAGGCCTTGAGGTCTCGAAACCAAAACTGAATCTGCCGGCTCGCGGGGTGCACATCATGTTCCTCCCGAAGTGGGTGCCGACCCAAGTCAGCAGGACTTGCCCTGCAAATCCTCCAAAGACGGCTTCTACCGTGCGGCCCGGTGAAACAGTTCGACCGGCGCCTTCGACGGGCGGCTTCGCGGACGATGCGCCTGCAGAGCGGCCTCTGCCTGCTCGCAGCGCCTGCAGGGCGGACATGATGCGGGAGAGATACGGGAGAGATGCGGGACAAGGCCTTGGGTAAACTGGTCTATTTCCCGAACCCAAATTGATGGGGGCGGTCTTTCGCCTGGGATGGTCTCAGTATATGAAAGAGCTACACAACCATGTGGGATTCCTATGTGGGTCGCTTGCGTTCGACCGAAGTACGCAAACTCTTAGTACCTGGCCTTCCGTTCGATCGGCGTTGTTACCAGTTTCCAACTTTGGCGTCCAGAGATTTTCACCATGTTCACCTCTGGTCGGGTTTCGCACAGCAGCGATTTTGGGGCTGTCCACGGACAAATCACCCTGACCTCATCAGTGGACCTCAGGACTCACTGAATCCAGACATCAGAGGTGTGGACAAAACCAGGTCAGTTGGAACTCACTGTGCGGTCTGGGGGGAGTTTTTCCGGACCAGCAGACTGGAGCTGGGTCAGACTGGAAGAAGGGAAGGGGAAAGGTTGTCACCACTTGCTCCACTTGATATGAGAAAGGATCTCAAGGTGGCGCCAACCATTGGAACATCCATTTGTTTCAGGTTGTGAACGGGTTTTCAGATATACCTAGAGAAGCAAAACACTAACAATTTTTTTTCTCCTGGATGAAACATCCCTTTTTCTTGGTATCTTGTTTCCCTAGGTAGTATTAAATGTGGTTCTTTCCGCTCCGGAACCTTTTACCCCCCTCCACCCGGTCGACCCGGTCGTCCCGATGCGTACATCGATGCGTCGGCTCGGAGTGAGGTGGAGTGACCCGGGTGGTCACTTCCGTGGTGACAAGGTTCGGTGCCCTGAAAAAGACAACATACCTGGATCTTCCAATGGTGTCAAATTGATGCTTTTCCATCTATAAAACCAGCCAAAAGACTGAAATTTGGCACAGTTGGAGGATCTAGGTATGGCCGATCTTGGCTTCTAAAATGGCCGATCTTGGGTCCTCGTCACGGAAGAATAAATAACCCAAAACCAGGTGGGAAAGCCTTCGATGGTGGGTCTTCGGAGACCTTGCGGTGACCGGGGACTCTGCCAATCTCGCCCGGTGGAGCACAGGTGGTCGGTCACCGGTGGAAATCCGCTCGAAACACCGATGACCCAAACGCAAATGCTCCAAACTCAAGTGGCCACAGAGATGGTCCCGTGTTTTGGCTGCGCTTCTACGACCTCTTGAGCGCCAGGATGTCTCCAGTACGCGCGGCCCGCGCGTACTGAGCGCGTAGACCCTGTTGGTGCGAGCTCAGGTCTTCTTCCCAGGTGACTATGCCGTCTCTGGCCACTTGGCGAGGACGACACCCGCCGGTCTCGGCTCGGACTGGGGTGGAGAGCAACGAACGCACCTGAGACGGACGGCGCCAGGCGTGCTGCGCCATGCGTGACATGAAGGACCTGAGACGCTGGCGATGTTGGGCGAAGTGACCTTGACGTTTCCGCCCTGAAGACAACAACAAGGGAGCGAAACATGGACGCTTTCATTGGTATGAATGCAAGAAGATCCCAAATTTGGCGGTAACTGCTTTAACGATCTTTAACAAGCCCTGCCGCCTGCGCGTTCACTTCCATTTTTGTTTCGCGGCGTTGTCTGACATTCGCACTTCCATCTTCGTTTCGCCACATCCACCTTCCTTCCATCTGACATTCCCACGCGAGTGAGCTGTTCATGCATCTTCCAAGACCATGAAAGGACAGGTTGACCCTTAGTCAAAGAATGGTGTTTCGGAAACGAACAAAGTATGAAATCCAATGGTGGGCCAGGAAGCGGGTATAGACGTGTTCTTCCTATCCCAATCTCTGCTTTTTGACCCACGTGCGTGATACGAAAACGCCTTCCCACCCCGATGTCTAGCGTAAGCGGTGCGCGACCAAGGCCTGGGCTACCTGAAGAACGGCCCGGGCTGCCCGGTGGACAAGTTCGAGGATCCTGAGGACGGACCGATGGAGAGAGGATAGGCAGATGGGAGGATTTTTTCGGGTCAGACGCGTCAGGTGGGATGAAAGGAGACGCCCAATAAACCAAAAAGGAAAGGCCTGAAAGGAAGTCAAAACCCTTCTGAAAAGACTGAGGGGGTTGATATGGTTTGGATTCCTGGGCTAGATTTGAGGCTGGAGGACAATTGGGAATTCCTCAACTACCAGTACCCTCCAACAGGTCTTTAGTTGACGGTTGTTGGGGCCCTTTCAGCGGTCTCAATTGATGACCTGGTATTTGACACTGCCCAGACGCTCCGTTCGCAGCCCGACTGGTCCCTCAAAACCATGCAGACATAGGAATTGGTTCGACGCAGTGCATCCTGCGCGGACCTGGACCGAAAAGCCGCCCTCGCGGACGATGTCGCGCTGGTGGGGCGCTTTGGGCCGCTGGAAAGCGCGGTGCGGCGATCCCAATCCACGTGGGTGCCGGTCGGTCTCTTCAGGAGGTGGAAGAAGCGGAGCAAGCGGAGGAAACGCCCGAGGCGTCCCCCACGACGGTGCCGAAGGACGAGGCGAAGGACGCGAAGGCCAAGGAAGGCCGGGATGGAACGAAAGAGTGAGGTGTGGCGAAACGGGTAGCCCTACAGGTCCAGTCTGACCCAGTAAAGGCTGGTCCTGAAAACCATCCATTGAGGAGCAGTGATTTGGTATGATCAACTTCAGTATAAAGTGAGGTCCAACTGACCTGTAGGGTAGCGCGGAACCTTGCTGCGTTTCGCCGCAGCAGGTTTGAGAGTTGTTGGTCGCTGGGGGTCGCACCTTGGTCACCAGTCCAGCTGGTGGAAACGAACTTCTTCCGCTCAGTAGGGGGTCGACGACGCAGGGACGACGCAGGGGGCTGGTCCGCCCGCAGGATTGGTTGACGCTTCCTTTGGGTGGAATGAGGCCTTTGAGTCATAGAATTCTGCCAGTAGCCCAGGTATCACAGTAGAATTTGATACATGAAGATGTGCATTATCCAGCTCGAATTTGGGCTTTTTCTGGATAGTCTGCACGAAGAAGCAAACACATGCTTCAGAGGAGCATCCGTTTCCGCCCACGCACCGTGCAGGCAAGACAGGTGGCTACAGCGCTGGAAGCGCGGTGCCTGCAGCTGCAGGTGCCTTTGAGGGGAGGACCTTGGTTTTGGGGAATTTCCGGTAAGCGAAGCACACGTGGACAGAAGGCCATGAAAGACTTCGATGAGTTCACCCTTTTAGGGTCCGAGGGAATCGTCACCGTTCTGTACGGGATCATACATGGCACGGGCCGGGTAGGGGATCACCGACGGATCGGCTCTGCTTGTTTGGTCGGTTCGCGTCGGTCGGTTCGGCGCACGTCGTCTCGCGGACGGATCCAACAGGATCCAACGGTTTTGGAAACCGCCCCTAGAGGCTATGTATAGACACCTCTTGGGGAGTCCTGGTATGCATGTATACATATATACATTCTATATATATATATATTTACATATATATATTTACACATGGAGTCTTTGCTCGAGTGGTTTTAAGATGCTTAAAGGGTCAATGCAAGTAAATCCCGCCCCCTGGTTTCGTAGTGTAAAATCCTTATGCAAGGGATCATCATAAATACATACGCATTGTAGTGGGTTTTACACCATCATAGAAGAGTTGCCTGAATCCCTGTGCACGGTGGCCCTGCAGGGGTCTCAATGTAGAAGCTGTAGAAGACATGAATTTCGATGACTTGGACTATATGTATATAAATTATATATTTATACATAGTAGGTTTCACTCTGTTTCGCTTCTTCCACGGGGTTATTGGGAGGTCTCCCTATTTGCACCTATTTACATACGCACCCAATATTATAGACGTTGGGATGAGGGCACGCTGCCAGCAAGCTAGAGAGGATTTTTAGGCTGAGAGGACAAGTTCGTACAGGGACAAAGGATATGCCATGAAACAGGTGCTTCTCAATTTCTAAGTGAAAGAGCTTGTGGTTGTTCCTCTGATCAGTTCCCGAGTCTCACCTCCTCAGTGAGTCTCTCACCTCTCACCTCCTTGCGTGACCCAATTCAAACCCCCATATCTATATCTATATCTATCTCTCTCTCTATATATTGATATGACAATATGTTAATATTTCTTTATATATACATAGTTCGCTTTCCTCTCTTTTCAATGTGCATGAGGGGCTTCCATACCGTATGGCGTCGACGCAGGAGTGTCATCCACCGCCCGGCGACGCATGGACCGTCCGACGCGCGAGGTGTATATATATATATACATAAATATATATAGTAATAGTAAAATAAGAAGAATAGTAACGATTACTATATAAAGATAGTAATTGTTAATAAACTAGTAATAGTAAAAATTACTCATGCTTCATTTGTATTTCTTTTTTCCCGGGCGCTTCTGTTCCTCGCTTCGGGTTTCTCCAGCTGGGCTTCCCTTTCTCCTTCTCAGGCAAGGCAGTGAGCGCCGAAGTGACGACCAGCGCCGTGGTGGGAGCCTGACCGAGTCTCCGTGGCCGTGGCCGCCCGGCCGAGTGGACGCGTGGTCCGGGCGCCGCTGCGGAAACCGCAGTGGTTGGGGGCGCAGTTGGTAAGGCACCCTGCAGGTTGGTTGATCAATCCAAACACATGCAGGGTTGCAGGGTGGTGGGTTTTTGGAAGGAGAGAATTAGGAGGGCCGCAGATGGCATTCCGTGCCCACTTGTTCAAAGGATTCATAGGTTGAGTCACAGAATTCAGAAGATTAGCCGATTAGCCACATTTTTTGGGTTTGTCGTTCGTGTCACAGTCCTGCTGAAAGATTCAGATGGCAAGGTCGTGTCACTGCCTCAATGGCTCTCTCCCAATGTACCATCACAGTGTTCACCAGGAAGATGTTGCACCAACAGTGGAGAGTTGCACTCTTCACAGTGGAGAGTTGCACCTAAACTGATGGCGCAATTCAAACTCTGGGCAGTTGAACATATTGCGGTTGCAACTTCAGGTTGTTTGATTGATGATAGAATCTTCTCATAGACAACTTAATTCTCATCCTCTGTCTAGTGGTGCCCAAATTGAGTGTCCATAGTGCATAGTGTCTCGATGATGTTAGATAAATCTACTTCATCAAGGCTTCGTGAGCTGCGCACTGGCGAACACCCGGAGGTGACCGTGTTTGACACCACGTTGGGGCACCGTGCAATCGAAGAACTTGCTTGATCCGTGATCCGTGTACTTCCGATTTGATGCAAATAGTTTTTTTATGGCCACATTGCAACCCGGTTGACCTGCTTTAGTAGTGCAGATGTCCTCAATAGTTGTTCGGGATTTTGCCAAGTAAGTTCATGGCGGCCCAGGAATTTTAGGGGGAAGAAGCATGTCTTCTTGTTTGGCTTCCTGGAGCATCTGTTTCTGGATCTTGACCCGAGTGGCGCCTTTCGCAGAACCCGAGTCCCACCTCCATTCTGCCACATCCGAGCCCATCTCTGCCGCTTGCCCTTCGACAAAGGTGAAGTTGAAGACCAATGAGAGTTTCAATCCTTTTACAGCAGTCAGGAGCAGAATTTCTCGGGTTCCGGCGCTCCCTCCAGTTTTCTCAAACCAAGTCATCCCGTTCGCCTCCCGAACGACCATTAAAAAAAGAGGCAGCGACCTGGTGACCTGTCGTGTCAAATCAGTCAAACAAGGCTTCTTCGGGACGATTCAGGCCTAAGAAAATGCATCGGTGCCCAGGAAGCCCAGGGGTGCCAGATGGGGTTGGCCAAACCAAGCGCCAACCACGACCTGCGACGCCTTGGCCTGGACCGGCCACGGCCCATGCGCCCGAAGCCGCTTCGGGCCGAAGGGGTTTGGTTCGGGTCCAAGGATTGCGGTTCGGGTGCCAAGAGAAGTTCTACATTCCATAGGGTTCGGGCCCAGGAGCATTTGGGCAAGAGATGCTGACATTGCTCGGTGTGTGTTCTTTCAACCAGACTTCCAGAATTGAGCCCATGACAGGGCCCATGGATCACTGGCGCGATATAAGACCGTTGTTCTTTCGCAGGTGCAGCCGATTCTGTTTGGGGTGTTGGGAAGGACCGTTGGGGTTTCTTGCGCTTAAACGTGGACCAATTGACATGCCCAAATTGTTTGCAGGAGCATGTTCGGTTACAGTCTCTGAATGTTGACCGACCTGGACGTATACTGCATTCAGACTCCACTCTCGTAGTCATCCAGCTTCATTCGGCGCCGATAGAGGATCACCCAACCCTCTTCCCTGAATTTAATTTAGGATCTGTTTGGTTTGAGAGATTTTCATAGGATTTTCCATCTGACCATGCTAGATTCGACTGGACCACCTGATTCGAGCGCTGCACAGTGGCGCATGCCACTAGCTACTTGGTAGCTTTTCATGCCACTATTGCATGGGGCTTTTGGGTGAACCCAAATTCTGCGGCCTGACACCATTTTTTCACAGCCGGAAGGGACGCGGGTGCACAGTGGCGCATTTTTTCTATGGCCAAGGTCAGGTGAAGATGAGCTGTAGTCAATGTAGATCACCCGTTTTTCTTTGGAGGCCGGGGGTAGACTTTGGGTCGTTCTTGGCATGCACTTGAAGAAGTTGATGCTAGCATACCCTGAGATAAACCAACATCTGGGGGTTTGTAGGTGACGGAAGAAGACGGTTTAAGTGGCACTTGTGCATTTGCAGTGAGGTCTTCATGTCGATGAGTGGTAAAAAAAACTGTCAGGATCACAACGAGTCAGGACTGTATTGTCTTTCGTACAATGGGAAGAGACAACAAAGTCAAAAGAGCATCAAAAGAACAACAATTACATAAGATAGTACATAGGATTTAAACCAAGGAGCCATTCAGAGTTTTCCCATGTTTTTCGAACACCGAACCGATTTGGTTAGTTCGAACCGTTCACTTTGTAATTGAAGCGGCCACAGCACCTAGCAAGCGGTGTCATCATTAAGCGGTGCGTTTCCACCGATGACTGCGGGCTTCTGAAATGGAAGCCACATGGTCTCTGAGATCTCTTGAGGTCGCTGCAATCCCTCTTTGAAGCACTGATCCTCTGACGAACGGACGTGTGACGCATCTTCCTCACCTGTTTTCATGCACGATCACTCTTTTTGCTCTTCCTCTCTTGGACGTGCAGTGCACACACCAAAGCAAGCGGAGTGGAAGAGTGGAAAGAAAACACGGGACACACTGTCTGGGCCCGTTCCGAAGCGGGAGCCGCGCCCTCCCGTGAGTCTACGGGAGGGCGCCGTGCTGGCGGCCTTCTTGAACGAAACGAAAAGGGGAGGGGGTCGCAGACTGTGCAACAGAACGGGAGCACGAAGAGGGCTGGGTTCACCACTTCATCAAGTCCATCTTTATTTTCCCATTTTCCAGGTTCTTCAAAGTGACCGAACTTCATCCCCTGGTTTGAGGTCACTTAGTAGGCCTGGAAATGGTCACAGACAGGGGCTCCAAAAAGGTAAAGTTGAAGAACCTGGTGCTTTTCTTCTTTCGTCGGTTGTTTTCATCACAGAACGGAGGGAGTCGGTGAGGTGAACATCCACCACGAAAACCACGGGTGGAGAGGGGCGGGTAGGGAGGCTTCCATGAGGTGAGGTAGGAAGGTACTGGAATATGAATGAGATATTACTGTATAATATATGGGTGTGTACTTTAGTAGGGAGATCCCCAACCAATTGATTTTTGGTATATTTTCCTTCTTCCAGGGGGTCTTTGGGGGTCGACCTATTTTAATACACATCCATTATATTATATTATTATATATATTATTTATATTATATATATGTATATTATATAATATATATATAGATACACACACACACACACACACACGCACAGTGCCGTCCATTTGTGTGTTCCGCTTCCTTCACTCGGAATGTAGCAAGAAAACATCCGTTTGTTCCTTCCCCGCCATCCGGATACGTTCCTTTGGTCATTTTCTCAGCTTCACCCTTTGTGCGATTTCCATGGATTGCAGACGGTGATGTTTCACATGCTGTCAGCGATGTTGGTGTTTTTTTCATCATTTTGCCATGTCAGCGATTTGGGGTGTTGATGATCTCTGCTTGCTGTGGGCATCTCACGCAAGCTGTCACTGGAGTGACTTTCGCATTGCAGGGCCACGACTAGGTGACTAGCCTTGGGACCTGGACAAATCTTTTGCTAACACCTCGATCATCTGATTGCACAATCGATGGGCTGGAGGATCAGGGCCAGTGCGACTTATTTTCCACTCATTTCGATCTTCCCCGACCAACACCACCCTGACACGCGCGTGCGTGCGAGCGCACGTGTGCTGTGGATGTTGGCGGGTTCGAGAGGCAGCAAGGGGGGATGGGGGTGCGGAAGGGACTGCAGAATGTAGCAGGCACAGTTTGCCAACTAGAGCCGAAACATTCTTTTGATGCCAGATGAGATGCCTTCAATTCAGATTCAGTTGTATTGATTTTGACTTGCTGTAGAATTTGTTTTGTTTTGATCACATGAGGGCCCAGGATCAAGAATCTGAGGCTGTGGGTCAAAACCGCGGAACCTTGGATGACCACCCAAAATGAACAGAATAGACTACCTCGGAGGTGAACCTACCCTGGTTTGGGCCTCGGGGGTTTTGACCCACTGCCGTATACCGTATATCTTATAAGTTAAGGACAGAGTACGAAGTGATGAGTCAAAATCAAGGACCCGACCCGGAAGTGATGTCGACGATTCGGTTGACTCCAAGCGCACCGGATTCGGTTGATGGCTACCCAAGGTGGAGGTTGACCCCCTGCCCCGCAGAAAGCCGCTGGAAACGCAGAAAGCCTTCGTGCCTGCGTGATTGCTCATGAGTGAAAAGAAAAGACGACGGTATTTTCCAATGGATCCCAGTGGAGAACATGTTTCATCAGCAAGTGCCTTCTAACGCGAGAAGCCAACAACATTTCGGGTTATGTCGGATCCGCCTGGGTCACGACATACCCAAAGTGGATGAACTTCACCTTGCAGACTGACAGGGATGTCATGGGGGAAGGGGGGGAAGGCATCAGGGCGTATCGATGATGGCAGGGACCCTGGATTGACCCGAGTCACGTATATTTCTTATCAATCCATGTGAGCAGGCACGAGATTAGAGGCACGAGACTGCTTTGGTTTTTGTTTGAAAGTTCTTTCCAAGAAGGTGCTCATATGCAAATGCAAACCCTTTCAAGGCCCAATATGGGACAACTGACGGTCTTCCATCTGGATATTTGGCTTCCAGCTGACCACCTGTAAACCCGCCACAAAAGACTGCACGTACCCTTTCAGAAACTAACCGTCCCTCGGTAGAAGAAGAGCATCTTCTAAACCAGCTCTGCAGTTTCTGTGTTTAGCTATTCACCAGGGAATCACCTGAGAAACCTTCTTCTTGTTCGAGCGCGCCCAAGGGGGGGCTGGTTCCACAGGGATCCAAAAAGAACGGCATCGACCTCGAGCAAAAGATAGTTTGAGCCAACATCGGAAGAAATTTGTGCTCCGCCGTCGGTGTCGTTCGAGACACATGCAGGGATATGCTTCATTACATAGGGGTTACAAGAAGGCAAGCCATATCCGTATGAGGCATTATGCACACCATTTTTTGTATATGTTTGTTGTTGGTTGGGTGCAATCAAATATCTGGACAGTCAAGATCGTCGACGGTCCGGCCGTCGCATTTCACGAAACGGATCCTTTCCGAACCCTCGGATGCTACCACGGATCCTGAGGGACCGCCCGCTGGAGTTTGGGTCGGAAACAGCGGTGTGGATGGATGAAGAACGATATTGTGTCAGCCCAACAGACTCCACTGCCTTGGTGTGGAGGAAGATTCAAGGGATGACAAGTAGGGAGGTTTTGGGAATGTTAGCTTGCAACACACACACACACATCATTGATTTAGTAGGCTGCATTCCGAACCGCCATGTGACACCTCCTGATCTGCCCCAAGGGGTCCTTTGGGGTCCTTAGGGGTCCTTTGGGGACCTGTCTGTCCCAGTGCTCCAGTTGCGTTCTTGGATCGTGTAGAGGTGCTGCCCAGCGCAGTGACACCTGTTATCCGAACTTCAGCGTGCGACTGGTTGGAAGATCGTGACACGATCACCGGGCACTGCTGACATCTTCGTAAAACACCGGCACAGACCCCCAGCAACGAAGTATATCTATGCATATCACTCTAAAAACAGAAGCACCTGAGACAAAAGATGAAGCAATTCACCCAAAAAAGACCATGAGAGCTTCCAAGTGGGGAGACAAGTAAGGAGAGCAGCGGCAGCAGCGGCCAAAACGCGGATCACACAGGTAGACGACAAGTGGGGAGACAAGGCAGTAGCGGCAGCGGTGGAGCAAAACGCCTAAAACGCCACCCTTCTTCATTAAGAAAGAAGAGCCACCGAGTAGCTTTCAGCTCCTTGGGGAGAAGAATATCGTGGACGACACATGTGACGCACGACACATCGCAGCGAAGACGTGGTTCCTGCGCTTTCGCACGACACAGTTGGCGCCTGATCGATCGGTCCCCAAAGGCCGTTTGTGATCTCCGGGTGTTCTTGGCCGTTCAACGACTTGTTTTCTCTCCTGCAGTGTCATTCGTCAATGTAGGTTTTTCAGGTACTTGATGGGATTTTCAGACCGGTGGCCAAAGGTGCCGGAGATTTCGATCTTCATGCGAACATGAGGAACGGTTGCACAAGAATGTCTCAACATGTTTTGCTCATAAACCGCCGCATGGTCGGTCGGAGCGCCACTGAAATCCAAACGCCCTTTTCTGTGGTTTGGGGTGGGCGTGACGCGGACACCCACATCCACCAGCAGATCCCTAGCCAGGCCCTAGCCTCGTCGCGGATGTGGCTCAAAGAGATGCCCTCCCCAAACAAACGGCGGAACGTGGTCTTCAGAGGTCGAAAGCACAGCATGGTTCATTGAACACCTGTGTCACACATGACACTTCCTCCAGGTCTTCTCTCTGTTCGAAGGTTCGAAGGCACCCCACAGAGGTACCGTGTTTGGCTAAAAAACACCAATGTTTGGTTCACGACACCCACAGCCAACCCCACAGATTTCAGCCCGTCCCGAAGCGTGCACCGCTGCTACCAGACTGCCCTGAACCACACGCTTTCCGGACACCGCGGCGGGGGGCGATTTTGGGGGGGGGCACCACCTCCAGCCCCAATGGCCGGGGGTCCCAGTCCCGAGTTTGGCAGCTCAGGTGGGGATTTTATCCGAGTTCGCAGCATTTTTTAGTTTGGCCGCTCAACAGGTCGTTTGGCTCAATGAAGTACACCGGGGTCTGGCTCAACCGGTCGTCTGGACCAGGTGACTGGTATGGTCTCACTGGTATGGTCACTGCTCAACTTGCAGGTGCAGTGGTGGTAGATGAAGACAGGAAATCAGTGGGGAGGCTCCAAACGCGATTGAAACGCGATCGAGCCGTCGAGACAGGCGCCAACATCACTGGAATTACAGATCGGAAGAATCGCGAACGAGGAATTCGGTGGTGTGGATGCCGGGATACCTCACTCAAACATACCAAAAACCCGGAGAGTTCGGTGACCCTCTCTGAAATGATGGTATGGCATGACCCCCTCGAAGGTGGTCTGTCACCTGGAACCAGGGATCCCAAGCACATCGGGGAGTCAGGTTTGGACCACCTGGTCGGTCACGAAGCCTCATTTTTCACGTGGAAGAGTCTGAAGCTCGCGACGAGCGACGAGCGACGAGTCGACGTGTGGAAGAGGTCGAAGATGTTCCCAGGAGAAGTTGCTATGGGAGGAGAACTTCCACTGGTGACCGGATACAAACACAGGCACAAACGGGCACACACGATGATCATGAAACTTGTTGTGAACATTTGGAACACTCTGAGGCACCATCCCGATCAAGGTCATCCTGGAACAGTATATATCGACCTATATCATGATTCCATGTCGAAGATTCAACTCCAAGTGGCTATCTCTCAAAATAAGCGGAACACACCCCTGGTGCTTGGAAAAGACACTGGGACGCTCCAGATCGTATGCTCGAAAATGGAGATCAATGGAGCATTCGCCTATCAAAAGGCCCCGTACTTGCCTGGTTCGTTCGTGACCGCGCGTGACCTGATCTGCCAACGAAAGGTCACTTCGAAGTGACGAAAGCCTCATGTACTGGTTCGGGTCCCGATAGACGATCCGTGATGCACCGGGCCGACCCTGTGTGCGGTGGACTTGGTCTGCCGGGATGAATCCCTACCATGTTCACGAACCACACCTACACAGCACGCACGTGCGGTTCCGGAACCTACTTCGGTTTCGAGTCCAGACCTGGATCCTGAAGGCCTCAAACGATGAGCCAGTTGGCTTAGATTGATCAATCACCAGCCTTAGATCAATCCCCCCAGACCCAGATGTGTTCTCCCAACAGTGGTCGAAGAACCCTAGTTCGACTATCCCAGTTCGGTACCCCAGTAAGGTCCTAGTTCAGGTCACTGGCTACCTCTCTTGGTCTTGTCTCTGCTTGCTGCCTCCAACCTCGCTTTCCCATCCAACCCACCGCTGGATCCGACCGGGGTGTCGTGCCCCGTACCGCCTCCCGTGTCGAGCTGGTGGTCGGGACTCCGCCGAGGTCCCGGCTGCTCGACGAATGCGAGCCGGGACACCTGGTGCGGCGCAAGGGACTTCTTTTGGGGCTTTGGGGTTTGGGAGATGCTTCAGCGGTTTTGGGGGCTGAAGAGGCTGCTGGAGTGCTGGAGACGAAAAGAACGGGCATTCCGTTGGTCTTCGGATTCTTTGTTGGGTGATGATGGGGAAAGACGGATGGAAATGGCCTCCCAGGATGATTTGGATGAGGACTTCCTTTTTTGGAAGGCGGTGGAGTTGAGTTCCTATGTTGGGGAAGGATGGGGATGGTAGATGGGTGGCAGTTCTACTTGGATAGGATTGATTGGCATATTTGAGTCCGACACTAGTTCTAGTGTGCAGTCCTTTCAATCTTTTCATGTCTTTTCTCAATTGAGCTTTGTGCTTCATGAGTTTGTGGACGGCGGTTGACGAGCATGCCTTCATGTGCTTGAGATACGACAACTCAGTGATCCCTTCACAACGGGCCGGCCCTTCACTGGGAGTCGAAAACGGAAGAGGCTGACATTCCTATCAGATCATCAGCATGAACTTCACCAGTCTGATATTCCACTCTGTTGCTTTGCATCCAGTCATGAAGCAGTCTTCCCCCTTCTCCACCCGCCTTGGGGCAGGTCCCTCGGGCTCTTGACCGATGCATTGGATGGGTCGACCCCGGGACCAGCCCGGTTCGAACACGCCACATGCAACACGGCAGGTGGGGCCGGTATGGACAGGTGGGGCCCCCGAACCCCCAAGCTCCAGACGCCCCCAGTGGTGAGGGGAGGGCAGCGTTGGGGCAGCGTCTGGGTGTGGACGGTTTCAATCTCGCAACATGCAACGCCCCAAAACGACATGGAATGGGACGTTCTGGCCACGGCTCCCATTGCGGCGAGCCGTGGCCGCCACCCAAGAGGCCAAAAAGGGGTGAATCCCAACTGAGAAGGAAGAGGTCTTGTCATGAAGGCAACTTGGAATTCCAAGACACCATTGCGAGGTACTCTTTCCCGAGCCCTAAAGCAGAAAGCACTTGGGGAAGCGGACAACACAAAACCTTCTGAGAATGGATTCTGCAGGATCCTCATCCATCCACCATGACTTTCATGACTTCCACGCCGCTCATGGCGTCTCCGCCGCCGCGACCTGCGCCGCGACCTCCGCGTCTCCGGTCCGGCGGTCTGCTGCCGAGCGGTCGGAGCGGCCTGCGGCTCCGAAGGAGCTCTTCTCAGGCGGGTGTGCAGGGTGTACCGGTCGACCAAGATGGGCGAAGAAAGAGGGTTCTGACCAGGAGAAAACCAAAAACGGGGAGAAAGAATGGACCAACCGCAACGATCATATGGGTGTCTACCCAGCCAGGACGAGGCTCCCAATATCAACATACCCAGGTGGTTGAAAAGGCGGTGGTTTTGGGGGTTCAGTCAAGACGGGGGAAGATGGCAAATGCGAAGCAGGTATTGTTGTATGGTCCTTTTGCCACAAGGAGGCAAAGCTCTTGTCTCAAAAGTCACAAACTATTATCTCCACAGGAGTTGGAGGAATACATGTTGCAACACTTCAATTTCCAAGACTCTAACTCTCAGGAGGTTCTTTCTCACAAGCAGGTGCAGGATTTTCTCCCATTCACCCATATTATCCCTCTTGGCCTCAATATGTCATGTTGTTGGTTTTGATTCTGTGTGACTTTCGCTTACGCCGTGCCTGGCCTTGCTGGGTCGAGTGGTGACATGCCTCTGCAAGACGTGAGTACGCACCTGCAGGATGCGGATGGCACCTCCGGGGGCCTTGGAAGACTTCGACCCCCTACTCAGTCTTCAACCTTGAATCACCACAGCTAGATCGATCGAACAGGTGGAAGAAGGCTAACCTTTATAGATCGATCGAACAGGTAAACTGAGAGGGTCAGGCCCCCCAACGTGGATCAACGCAAGTCCATGGCACGGACCCCCTCGTTCGGCAGGTGCTGCTTCCCCTGCTGACGTTGCAGGCCTGCCGTCGGCTGCCCAAAGATGCAGACATGGACATCGGGTACCATCCGGATGGTCAAAGAATATGTTTGGTCCTGGTTCAAGTCCTGGGTCATCCTTGGAGCCACAAGAATGACATTTTTAGGGATCCAGTCGCACCTTCTCAGGTACGGTGATGTGTTGGTGAAGGTTCTTCAACGTGACCGAACTTGATCCCCTGGTTTGACTTAGTAGGCCTGGAAATGGTCACTTGGGGACTCCCAAAAGGTCACTGCAAGAACCTGGTTGGTGAGGCTTCTATTTCCCCCTAGTTGGTTGGTCTCGGGTCTTGCCTCCCACAGACCAGGGTCCTACTAGTTCTGGTCTCTCAACCTCTCTTGGAGAGTTTCGGTGAACCGAACGATGTTGTCACATGGGTGGCTTGGGGTAGTGGAAACCACCGTGTCCACTTTTCCCCGCCGATTTAGAGGTGATCCACAGGTGATCCAGGGTTCTTTCCATCTGCACGCTTTTGGTTTGAATCTGAGTGCATTAATATATAAGTCTGTAAAAAGAGCAGAGTGGAGTCAGAGTAGAGGAAGTCACATCTGTTTTTCCAGCCCAAGGTCTTCGAGGGGCGGATTCGGGCGACTTGAACAAGATCGTGCACCGTTTCACGATCGAACGCAGCCCCCCCAACTGTGCCCCGTCAGAGTCTGGACCCGTTTTTGGTCTGGCCCGTTGCTCGCGGTCCGGGTGGTACATACCTGGATCTTCCAATGGTGTCAAAGTTATGCTTTTCCATCTATAAAACCAGCCAAAAGACTGAAATTTGGCACAGTTGGAGGATCTAGGTATATGCGATGCTAAAAGGGGCTGTTCACCCTGTCTTGGCTTTCTTCTTGTTTTTCAAAACATCGATTGGACAAGAACAAAACAATCGCAGCATCCGGAGTCAGGCCAAGTGGTAACTAGTGGATCTCCCGAAGCAGAAGAGAAAATCTCCGGCTTACCTTTGGACCATCAGGACATCATATACAAGTCAGGGTCCAAATATTGGACCAGTGACCATGTTACAAAACATCTTAAATCTGGAAACCCATTCTAATCCATTTGAAACACATTGAATCCATTCACATCATTTCATCCCCTTCGCCCTCCGCGAAGCATCGCCCAGTCTTCGAGGTCGTTCAGTGCCGGCGCCCAGACGAGGTGCCCGTCCATTCGGGGCACCGATGGCGGAAGATCGAAAGGGAGCAGTGGAACGCCGTCACATTCAACAGTAAGAGCCGTTTTCCAAAGGACCATGCCATCCACTTTCATATGAGTTAGTCACCAAGAACCGAAGATCTGATCCGACTGTCCGAAGACGAAGACGACGAACGATGCACCGCGAACACAGATCTTCCGCTGTTTTCAGGAACAGAATCTCTGGAGGAAGGGGGTCACCTATTCATGGAGCACCACGTTTGGGTCCAAAGTCCTCCCAGGGTTGGTAGCCAGAAGGCGCTTTTGTCGCCAGGGAGCGGCAAACGGAGCCGGCATCGTGACTCGAACGGAGCGATCGGACGCGACTCGAACGGGGGCGCTCCTGGCCTTACTACTCTAGGAACAAGAACCAAGACTGGTTGAGCTCAGCCCTTTTTTTTTTTTGGCCCATCGCATATGTACCACCACAGGCTCTATGCTTTCTCAACCTCTCTTGGAAGCTACTAGGACTTTCAGTCGCCCTCACGGCGAGTCCGACCGGTCCCCGCGGCGTTCGTCCGCCCGAGCCGACTCCGTCTCTGACCCCGAACCGACGACGAGGAACCGGACGCGTTGGGGTCCGCGGAAACGGCACCCGAACTGGAAGCGTATGTTTATATGCGAGTCTGTTGGTACCATCCGAGTCGGACTGTTTTTTCGGGGATCTGACGAAGGGACCTGCATGATTGTGAATTTCCTTTACACTCGCTGGAATCACCATGAACGTGGATGGCATGGCCCTGAAAGGAGGACCCTTCTTTGGAACACCAAACTTCATCAAGGAGGCTGGCACCAGTCGCCTCCAGTAGCGGGGTCTTAGGCATTTTTTGGGTTCCAGAAGGCCCCAGATGCCACCGGCCTTTTGGTTTCCTTTTCTTTTTTGTGTGTGTTTTCCTCTCCGACCCCTTAGGCCTTGAGGCCCTCTCCTTGGACACCAAGCCCAGGGCCCAGGCGCAGGCGCGGAGGGCGCGGGCGACTTACGGCGCGGGCGTCTCCGCTGAACGAAAAGCATGGGTTGAGACGCGCGGGAGTTGTTCTCGATATTTCTCAAATATATATATATATATATAATAGCCTATAGGGCTCCAGACACCTCCTGAGGGTTCGGTGCTTGGGTGCCAGAAAGGGAGGAGATGGAGGTTTAGGCCTTTGAGTGACCGGAGCCCGAGCCGCACTGCAGCAGATCCAAGAGGTCGGACCGGGTCGAGAAGGTGACCGGGTCGGGTCTGGGTACCAGGACCTTGCAAGAGGTGTCCATAAATAGCCTCTTTAGTGGTGATTCGGGGTGTGAAGCCACCGGGTGTGAAGGAAGGGTCCTGGTACGACTCGAAACCTGTCAGGTCACCAGCTGCGACTTTGAAGTCTGATGGTAATTGGAGACCTTCGACTGTTGAGGGTTTTGGTGCTGGTAGGGATTGAGGGTTTAGGTGTTTAGGGGTTGGTGGTGGGAGAACACATCAAAAAGGGACTTCCCTACTCTTGGCCGGTTGATTGGAACCGGTACTTCTCCCCCTCGCCGCCCCTCGTGGTTTCAGCTGACCGGCCCAAAGGCACCAGTGGTTCCGCCGAGATGACGTCCCACGGTACATCGGTTCCCTGCGCATTCGGTGCGTGACTGCGCATTGCGGTGACCGCGCGGAATCCGAACCGTCTACGTATGTCGACGTAGACCGTTCGATAGACTGATCTCCCTCAGGATCCGGGCCTTTGAGGGACTCTTAGACCACTGAAACAGGAGCCCCTGGGGGATATCTGGCGCACTGGAACTGTTTCGACTTTTCGAGTGGTGAAGAAAAAGCCTCTGTTTCTAGCCATTCTTTAGTGGAAGAAGCGCCAAAGCAGACATGTCTGGGGGTGCCAACTCCCTGTGCGAAACGGAAAACATTCTCAACTTCGTCAGTGGAATTTGGCTTCTTCCAAGTTTTCAAGCACGTACCATCTTCGTTACGCTCCTCAGGAGCAGCAGCTGGCAGCGTTTCGTGCCTGGCTGAAAGAAGGCGGCCCACCAGCATGGTGGGGGCGCGCCGGGCGCGCGCGCGATGGACGGGGTGGGCGCAGGGCGATGGCATCGTGAGGGCCTGACCTGAGCAGCGGAATGTCATGGAACATCGTCGGTTCTTTCCCAGACAATCCATGCGATAGACAACAGATTTACCCACATTGGATGGCTTTAAGATTCAATTTAGGTAAATATATGGGATCAAGCCTGCGTTTGGCTAGGGGATGGCACGGAGGATGAGCAACATTGCCAATGAACACTATGAGATGAGGAAGCGAGCACGTGATTGGCGCGGCTGTGACTCTTTTAAAATGATGGAATGTATGGCCCACCATAAACTCACTGATAGTCAACTGTTGTGCCTTTAATTTACTGGAAGTCGAAAGAAGAAGACCACCACCAAAAGAAGAGAAGTGGGAATCGCCTGACAGAGTCACCGCGGGCAGAACGATGAACGTGGACTTCCCCATCGAAACGGAGAAAACATCCACAGCGTCCAAAACCGAACCTTTTTAACCTGGAAAAAGAATGTTCCCAACCCTAAACCCATCCACCCATCCGCCGAACTCTCTCTCTCTCTCTCTCTCTTGTTGCGCGCGCCCAAACCGTCCACCGTCACCGCGGCCACCGGAACCGCCGCGGTTTGTCAGGAAACGCGGCGGTTCAGTCGCGCGGCGTCCGTCTACAGCGCTCGCCCTTGGGAGGCTGCCGCAATGGACACAACGTGACACGGCAGGGTTCTGGGGAGAATAATTTTTGAGGAATCGGGTTGGTGTTACACTGACGAGCTTCCTCCACGTTCAGTGGTTTTGAGGTTCGGGGGTCTCTTCCAGGGTGTAATCCCCTCGAAGTGCTTCCGTGTGCATCACGACCTGGGCCTCTTGGAGCCGTGTCCAGGCCTGGGCCTCTTTGCACAGAAGAACTTTCCGCAGGCAGGGGAGACCAGGCCTCACGTGTATGGGAAGGTTGATTCCTTGATGCTCAAACCATGGTTTTACCTAGGTTTATTGGGGTTGAAATAACTATACAATAAACTATGCAATGTGCATGTTCGACACAAAACTTAGAGATGAACGCAGCATGAAGTGGGCATGTCTACAATCACTCTATTTCTGGACCCTTACAAATTCTTTAGTTCTGTCTCTCCATATTCACCATAATCACTATTTATTTTGGACCCTCTAACAAATTGTTTGCAAGCATAGTTGGAGATGCTTTTCGACCCCCCTTGACATTGTCCATTTTTCAGAGGGGTGCAATAAAACTATACACTTGCAACCAGCTGATGCATATGCAACCGTAATAAACTATACAATTGCAACCAGCTGATGCATATGATGCAGTCATGAAAGATGTATTGCAAGACATAGACTGTCGAGAGGAGTTGTTTGTTTGCCTTTCATGGACCTAGTGATGCAAATGATGCGAAGATGAGAACTGTCAGACATGAATGATGTGAAAGCCACGTGTTTCTCCACTTTATTCTCCTTCCCACTTGTCTCCCAGACACACCTCATGATTCATGCAGGATATGCATTTTCGTTTCCAAACGAAACCGCACCAGCAGTATCACGCCCCTCAGCACCTTTGGCGTGGGCGGATTTAATAGGCTGAGCCTTGATCTTTGCCGAAGTACGTTTCACTCAGGATTTTAAATTGTAGAGATCAGCCATGCTCGTTCCCATTTTTCTCGAGTGCATAGCGAAGGGTTCTCTAACTTTGGGAGTCTGCATGGGGTAGAGTCTTGTTTGAGAGTCTTGTTCGTGACGTGTTGTCGTAGCGACCGCAACCGTCCGCATGCAACTGTTCGCGGTTGGGTTGCGAGGGCGCGGACAGTGGGGGAAGCTTTTGGAGGAGGTTTAGGATGAGACATGAAGTGTCAGATTCGTGTGAAATAGCTTGGAAACGTCAAATGTTCAAGTGTGGAGGATGATTTTGCTGCGCAGGTGCAGGGTTTTGTGAAATCCTTAGTTGTCTTCGCTGTGAGATTGGGATTGGCGTTTAGAGGGTGGTGTTTTTGAGGTGTTGGATGTGGCTGTGACATTGGGATTTGCGTTTCAGGCTGTTGCTTCGAAGTGCTGTTTTCGTGACAAGTCTCAGCACAAATTGCGGTTTTGGTGGATGTGAGTGCGCGCAGAAGGTGTCGAAATCATTCCAAACGTGGAGTGGTGTGGTGCAAAATTTGCTGAAGGCATGAAGATGTCATTTCGTCACTTTTCGCGGCAGTGGGCAGTACTTTGCACGTGTTAGAGGCGTCGAAGTTGAATTTCCGTGGCGGGCGCAGGTAATCGTGAGGTTGTGATGTTTGGTGGAGGTGAATGTTCCTGTGACTGACAGTAGGATTGGTGTGTCAGTGGGTGGGTTGTGAGGGGCTGGGATTGCGAACCTGCTTGGCAAAAGTGCAAGCAAGTCTCGTACGAAGCGCTCGTTTTGGTGACGTTGACCTGCGACTTTTGGAGGAAGTTTTTTCGACACGCTTGTTTTGGAGATTTGACATGTGACCTTTAGGGACGGCGTCGGCTGGGCGTCGGGATTTCCACGATTTCGCGCAGCGCGAGGCCCGAACTTGGGTTTCTGGGGTGTTTCTTTGTTTGCTTTCGTTTTCGTTTTCTTGTTTGGGGTCCGGTCTTGGTGGTTATTTTTCTTGCTTGTGCACACTAAGAAGCGAATGCTGGGATGAAAAGATAAGGCGCAGGGTTCAGGAAGGAAAACAGCAAAGGAAAGCGCTGAGGGAGGCCATGTATCCAAAGAGCACAAGAAATATGAAAAGAGAGATTTACCGGAAAGCCGCGAAAGAAGACCTGTCAAGATGGGATGTTCGACCATTAGGCCTGTAGGGGGTTGTAGCTCCGTTTGGGAGCTTGCGGCAAACCATTGTGTTGCTAGACGCGGGACCGGGCACTGCCAGGGCTCATAGCATATGCTCAGTCACGTTTTGCGTCAGGATTTTGGCTTTGTAGGCATCAGATTTTATCGCGCCGTCTCACCATGCAGACCAAGAGTCGAGCTATGAACAAGCTTCCGGCGATGCTGCATTGAACGGTCCACAAAGCACTGCACCTGAAATGACATCTGCACTTCAGGGTCCACAAAGGGCCCTCAGGACTGAGCAAGTCCTTTTTGGCGGGCGTCCTTAACAGCGTCGACACCCAGATCATCGCGGTCTACGGAGATGATCTGCTACAGCCAGATGCTGTAGTGGTGTCGCGCTGTGCGGACGCCGCCCTCGAAGTTGTGGCCGCGGCCTCGGCCAAAAAAGGCCTCGTTCGCCGGCTCCTCCGTGTGCTGCAGGACTGGTCTGAATTCCCGAAGGCGCCTGCAAAGGGCTCTCCTTTGAGAACGGCTACCAACTTCACCTGTCTAACATATTCAACATCATCATCATCATCATCATCATCGTCATCATCATCGTCTTCGTCTTCGTCTTCGTCATCATCATCATCATCATCATCATCGACATCGCGTTCAGGTTCCTCATCATCAGCGTCATCATCACCATCATCATCCTATGAAGTTGCAGAGACGCAGGTGATTGATATGATTGTCAGGGGTCGTCGTTATCAAGTGCATAGATGAAGGGAAGCACACATGGTGAAACACGTCTACACAGATACAGGTGTTTGGATACTGGTATCGAGACACCGGTGTGTAGATACAGGTTTTGAGATATAAGTGAAGACACAACATGTGAATTTGAGTTGTGCTTGGTGAACTCTGCGGAGATTGCGCGTGTCGAACGCAAACAACGACGACTATTTGAAGCCTTTTCTCGACTTGTGGATGAAGGCGCGTGGGCATTCAGGTTGCGTCCTGCACAGCACTCAGCACTTTTGCGATCGTGATGATGCGACCGCGATTCTGGAGTTAGAGATCCACGGCTATTGCAGCAGCGATCATCATGACTGAAATATTTGCGAATTCATATCAGAATAAATATGGTTTTTCTTTTCTAAGATCTTGTGCGCATGGTACGCGAACAGAAGTTGTCTGCAGCATACTATAGCTACTATAGCCTATGCCCACAAGAACTGAGGAAACGCTGGAGATAGAACTCGCGCTTTCTCACTTTTGCATTGAATATCATCGCCATCCTGCTCATCACCCTCGTCCTCATCGTGAGACATCATGACACTATGTCCTCGCTGCTATGCTTTCGGGCCACCCTGTCATCTACGCTTTTGACCTTCTGATGCCTTCTGCGTTGCGTCAACCACCTGCATCTCTACACTTTGATGATGATGATGATGGTGATGATACTTGGACAGTTGAAGTGGGCAGCCATTCCTTAGGGAGAGCCCGGGAAACACATGTCCTTCTCGGCTGGTTTTCCTGAGCCGTTTGGCAATGCTGTCGGCTCCTTTCAGCTCTATGGCAAGTTTTTGCAGGAGCAAGCAGCTGCGGCGGGCTTGCGGGAGATGGTCTTGAAGCCCGTCCCCAATGCTAAAATGTATTGGGGACGGCGTGGCTTCCGACCGCAACGCAAGCCCCCAATGTGGGTCCTGAAGATATAAAAAACGGAGGGCGCGTGACACGCAACACGCATAGCAATTGAAACGAATTCAATAGGGCGTTAGCCCAGATGACACAGCCTGTAAATCCACTGTGCCACTGTGACCGGTTTCGCTGGACACGGCGCGCCGCGATTGGGGGTGGCGCAAAGCCTCGACGAATCAGTTGACAAGGCCTTCACGAGATGGGGCCACTGCGATGAGTCATAGCTATCTGGAACAGGTTGTCCGCTAGCCAACTGATACATGCCAGTTGAGCAGGCTCACCTTCAAGCCACATGTCAATGCATGGCCCCAATCGCTTTGACCAGTTGCGCGCTGTCTTGTCATGCGCGCGTGCGGCACCAGCTGCACGCGCCTTCAACCTTGCCATTCAATGCCGCTGCCAGCGTCCAGCGCTCAAGGATCAACCAAGCCGGCGTGGATAGCTGAAGGCCAGCCATGCCAAAGCATCTGGCGGACCGCGGCGCGCGGGGCGTGGAAGGCATCGAGTTTGCGTATGATTGTCTTTCGGTCCACGCTGCGGCCAGTGTTGAGCCCTCCCTATTCAACGATGCTGTGGCCGAGGCGCGCGTCTAGGGCCATCTTGTTAAGAACGATGCGCTGGGATAGACAAGTGATACATAGACAATGTTCAAGATAAACGTAGGACACGGTAGAAAAGTAAAGAGAGGGAAACGTAAAGCAGAAAAAAGATGAAGAAAAAAGAGCAAAGAAAGGCTTTAACGTGAGATTGAATTTACGAAGCAGCAAGAAGAGCTAACCAAGACCCCTTAGAAAGCCGACGTGAGCAAAGACGTGATGGTGATGATGATGGCCGGTGATGTGGCGATGGCGGTGGTGATGAAGGTGATCATGGTGGTGGTGATCGTGGTGATCGTGGTGGTAGTGATGGTGGTGATGATGGTGGTGGTTGAGCGACTTGGGGGGGTTAATTGTAGGTATACATGTTCCAAATCACCAACATTTCAAAACTTTTGATCTATCAAGCAAGCCAAATTTGAGTGTCCCAGGCAGGTCGTCCCAGATCGGCCGTGTTTGGGAATGGTCGACGCGTCGACTCTCTCGGAGTCGCGGGGCTTCCGCGGAGCGTAAGCTCGGTCGCATGGCCAGAAAACGCGCAGGGCGCGGTGATCTTGGAGGTGCCCTTTGAGAAGTGTCTTGAGGTTCGGGTGAAATAATGTTGGATGGAAATGTTACTTGTGCGTCACTGCGTGACCTATGTTGGACCACCGACCGCCCAAAAGAGGTTCTTTGCATAGCTTTGCTTATCAAAAACCAAAAGTCCTGTCTGGGCTCTAGAGAATGTGGAGAAGGTTCGGTGAGTTGGGCGTGGATGATTGTGGTAGGAGGAGTTCGCTGGGCCAAGGTAGGACCTTGGTAGAAAGACCCTGCAGCCCAGGCACAAACCGTGTTGGTATCGTGTGCTTAGCACATTTTGAATGAAACGCCTTCATATCAAAAACACAGTCGATGACACTGTTTACACTGGGGTGTACTAACATGGAAATGGAAGAACGCTGTTTCTAAAGAACAAGGGTCTTCCAAGGGCCTATGCCATCTACTTCCGTGTGATGTGTTCGTCGGAGTGTATCACATAGATTCCGCGGAGCGTAGATGGATTGTTGGGGGAATGCTACTAAAACCGAAGCGAACTAATACCATTTTGTGCACTTTCAGATCTACCAACATGGAGTGCAACACTTCTGGGGCATCTCTTTTTCTGTGGCTTTTGACCAACTCTTCGATTTTCCACAGCGGTTGACCAATCTTCCATAGAAAAAGAACCCGCGCAAAATCATCGTCACATCCGGATCGGGATTCTGCGCAGATTCCCAGTTCTTCCATCGGGAGAAAAGAACACGCTGTTTGTTGGATTGGTTCGCCTCCCAGGTCTGCGATCGAAAGCACAAGAAAAGGGCAGACGGCAGACCTCTTCCAACGACCCGTTTGTTTTGTGCCTTTCATCGATAGAACCAGCCAAGTTCGGCAGACATTTGGCACACTTGGAGGATCTAGGTCTTTGTCTCATTCGGTGTTTTTTTGCTTTTTTTTTTTCCGAATGAATAGTGAAAGGAAGGGTATATTGGTTGAGTGTTAAACATACGTGTATTCATTCGGGTTCGTGGGTTCTATCAGTTTGTTTTTCTATTTGGGTCAATATAATAGGATTGATGAAGCCTCCACTTGGCTGGGGGATGGCATGGGGCATGAGCAACATTGCGATTCACACGCAGAGATGGCGAATGGTGGCGAATTGAGGCTCATGCTGAGTTGGACGTGCCCCCGACCCCCTTTTCCACCAGGTCGATGCCCACCATTTCGACCTCGACGATGCCACGGTCTTGCAGCCGATCCTTGCGCGGGCGCGTCTGGTGGGATCCGGTGCGCCGGTGGGCCACCGGGGAGAGAGTGGCTCCGATGAAGCCTGATGACCCCAAATCTTGACTCTTGTTCCAAGCAATCTTAGATTTCAATGATTGAGCTAGTGTATTCAGAGTTGAACTGGAATAGTACCTGGACAAACACCAAATAGGTGTGTAGCTTAAATAGGGAGACCATCCCACACGTTCCGACCCCGGATTGAAATTGACCAGTCTACCCAGTCAGGACCCCCTATTACACACCCAAATCCCTTTCTGATGACAGAGAGGTTTCGCAATTGAATTTGTTGCCCTTTGCTACGAAACTTCGTGAAACACGACCCCCTTGTTTCGGGACGAAGGGAGGGACGGATGATGCAAATCTGTGCGTGAGGCGGCTGAGGAGTATGACGTGGACGCCTTTGTGGAGGTGGAGGCGCAGAAGGCGGTGTTGGCTTTGTGCCTGGACGCAGCAGGCGGTGATTTCAGTGGGTCCTGCAGTGTTCCTGGACCCGTCTGGAGATGTTTGAAGAACACTATGTTTGATCGGGGTGACGGGTCTTGATCCGCACATTCTGGGGGATTCTCCCACCAGAGAGGTAAAGCGCCACGAAGTCCTGAGGTGTCAGCGACTGCTGCTGGAGCGACAGCAGGGAGCCTCCTCCAAGTTCGCAGAGTACCTGGCGGTGATTCCTGCTACGCGGATTGAACATGGAATATACCTGGATCTTCCAATGGTGTCAAAGTTATGCTTTTCCATCTATAAAACCAGCCAAAAGACTGAAATTTGGCACAGTTGGAGGATCTAGGTATACTGTACGTGGGAGTTGATCTAACGGGGCGTGTCAGGGGTTTTACGTAAAACGACCTTTTTTACATTTATAAATGCTGTCCCAAACCGTCCGCGAAAGATCCGCGATGAGGTTCGCCCTTTTTTTCTTTTAAATGTTTGTCCATTTTTTCCACACAAAAATTATCGAAGGTCTTCATTTTGATATATGAGTTCCTTTCTACCGACCATATGGTTGAAATGCAAATCAATCCGCAGGGTTGGTGGGCGTCCCACATCTCCCCACATATCCATCGCCCAACGAAGCCTCAACGTGTCCTCCGATTCCTGTCCCCGCTGTCACAGACGAACAAACTGACAGCTCGCCCTCGCAGCCCTCGCAGCCTTGAGAGTACAGGCTTGCCGCTCGTTAACTCACAAACTTGCAACTGCATCACCCAACTGCGCAGTCCCCGACCTGTCCGCAACTCTGACAGGTCGGGCAGATGTTTGCGCACAATCAGCGTTTTCGGGGAACTCACTCGTGAAGTTTCGCAGTTCCGCGAATGTGCCGTTAAAGTCCCGCTTCCAAACTTGAGCCACCCCTGTGGTGGTAGTTGGCACGAAGGTCGGATTGAGTTGTGCTTGACTCCAATCCAAGCCTCCTCAGGATATTCCCCAAGGTTTGTCACGCAGATTTCTGCAAGTGACCCTGCAGCAGCATGCAGCAGCTGTAGCAGCTTCCGACCTTGTGTCTAGTTCGTTCTGAAGATGCCACTCGCTTGTTGTTGATCTTACAAACAGTAGTTCCAACACATTTCAAAGGTGGTTTCTCCTTAGTCTGAAGGATACCTTAGAAGTCTGCAGTTCGATGATGTTGAAGGGAAGCACCTTTAGACCCTTAAAGCAGCACCTGCTAGACCAGTTCCATTCGAGTCGTAGAGCCATGCTGCATCACTATGTGCCCATCACAGAGGAGACATCATCATCCAACTAGTGTTGAAGAACCTTTCAAGAAATAAGAGGACGCTACTAGGGGCTCCTGGCATCGCTACCAGGAGCTTTTTCACGCGCGCGTGGGTGTCCAGCCACCTCCGGCTGTTGAGTGCCATCTCTCACTGGACACATGATCTCCACGCAATGGACAAGAACATGAGATTGATGAAGTTCCTTTCTTTTTTTTTGTGGGGGAATGGGGTTCGTATTCTTTTCTTCACCTGTTGCACAAGTCAGGCAATTTGAAGAATCTTCGGTAAACTGTTCTAGTTGTTCTTCACATTGCTTAGCATTTGCTTTTGAAGATTTTTCGGTCTTCACCCTCACCTGGGGCCTTCTTCTTGGCATCTTATGAATCCAACAAAGGCCCCTACGAACCCTGCCTGCTTGAGCAAAGGATCCCTCAGAGCTGCATCCCTTGCAGCTGCGGTGGCCGAAGAGGCTCTCGGAGCAGAGCGCGCTGCTGTCGAGCCTCTTGGATGGGACGGCCCCAGCAGTGACGAAACGTCAGGTGCCGAAACGTCAGAAGGTTGAGCTTGGGTTTCAAGCAACGGATTTGCTTTCTGAGTTCCATGAAGCCCATGTTCAACTTTCAAAGGATGTATCCCAGGAGTCACAAGGACGGGGTGGGTTTTCTTCGTCCCATCCAGTGAGTGGATGTGACAGGGGCACCCCTATCCTCCAAGCTCGGCACCCCGTCTTGTGACTGCTGGTCTATATATTTCCTGAGCTTTGTTTACTTCAGTTGGCTTACTTCTGAGTTTACTTGGGTTGTAAGGTTGGTTGAAGTTCCATGGAATTGGGTGCCCAGTTCCGAACGGAGGAGTTTCTTTTTTTGTGTGTCCCTGTCACATCCACTCACAAAGACAAACTGGATTGGACTTAACATCACCCCGGACATGAAACTGCTGGAGGTTGGTTTAAGATGGTTTGCTGTCACCTCCCTGAGTCCTTCCTTTGTCTCAAGATGAGACCAGATTGCCACCAGACTGCCCAGAATTCTTGGGTTGCTGGGCCCTTTGTTGAGACCAAAGCCATGCTTGTTTGCCTTGGTGATCTTGGTGGTGATCTCCCTCGCTGTTTCAGCGATTCCTGAGCTGTCTCGGTGTGAGCAAAACGACCTACCAAGCCACTTCGAAACAAAACTCGGTTCCCAGGCCAAGCATAAGGAAACCAGCCAGGATCATCCTGTCTGGGTGTCCAATAGACTACCCTACCATACTTACAGGTCTCCAGACAGGGCACCCATTGGAAGTGCTAGGAGGGTTTCGTTTGGTCTACAGTTTTACTCTTTGGATTCCAGGGGATGCACCTTCGAAGCCTTCGACCCGGGTTTCTTGAGGAATGCATCACACGGTCCTGGAACGTGACTTGCTCTGAGACGCGAAGAAGACTGCGGGGGGGGGAAGAGCGCGAAATGGAGGGTGGTTTAGCATGGTTTAGCTAAAAAGGATCTTGGTGCCTGGTTTGCAAGGTGTGCTCAAAAATAGGGGGTGAAGCTGCACGCATGTGTATATACCTGGAGTACCCAACTGGGACAGTCCAAAAAGGGTTCTGAAAACCTCCGTTGGTTCCTTCAAGCTACTGTGAGTTCTCCAGGACTTCGCAGGACCTCGCAACAGCTCGCAGGAGCTCCAAAACAGCATTTCAGGGGCGCCGGCTCCTGGCCCTCCAATGAGAAACGATCACCTGGATCCCGCAGCACCCTTGTTGTACTGGTCACCAGGTCGTTCCCATTTCTTTTACAGTGGTCTTCGAAGGAAGGTAGCATTTGAGCTTTGGATCGATCTCTTTTCTTCAGCCGCCTCCATCCAGTCGCGGGGTGCCCGAGGCCCGTGGGGTGCTGGGGTGCCACTGTCACATCACATTCATTTGCCCTGGATGGGACCAAAACTTACCACGTGCCACCATGGAGCTGGCAGAGGCGACCCGATTCCAACCCGCAACCGGCGATCGAACCGTTCGGAACGGCGAAGCCGAAGCCGTTCGTCGACCCCATTCGGCGGCGACCCATGGCGGATTCGGTGCCCACAAGCCGCGTTCGGTTCAAAGGTTCAAGATAGCCCGTTGGAACTGGTCATTTTGGTCAGAACCTCCCAACTCTTGTGAAGGCTTTATTACTGAGACCCGAAAGTGAGGACTCTTCCCAGTCTGCTCCGCCTTTGTACGAGGTGACAATGCGTGTATGGAGGCTTTGCAGCCTTTTGAGCAGGCTGCAGGGAATCTTGAGACAGGGCGGACCCCTCCATAATTAGCAGGGGTTTGGACACGAACCAACCCAGAGCCAAGATCCTCCGCAACTTCACAGGAGCCTAAGTCCAGTTTCTGCAATTCCGCATTATTCAGAGGTCCTTCTCAACACCAAGTCCCAGGTCCCATGCCTTGATCCTTCCAGATTGAAGGATGGCTTCTTCCTTTCTTCTTCGCCAGCCTCGACCCACGCGACGTGACCGTCGGCCGGGACCGGCGCGACGGACGGAGTCGGGCAGGTCTGGAAGAGGCGCTGCTGGGCCTTGAACGCCGTGTGGACGCGCGCCGTTCACCTGGTGGGAGCTGAAGGAGAAGAGCGCTTGAGCTTAGCACCTGAGCGGTGGAAAGGTGTGAGCCTTCACAGGGAGAAAGCTGGGAGGTGCCAATTCCAAGTACATGTTGGTTTTTGCCCGTGGAGGCCAAGTACATGTGTCCTTGGTGGGCTCATTACATGTCTTAAGATACTTTAAGTCCACTACGGTAGATCTTCACATCAAGTCCACAGGTAGTCCTCAGGTCTCACATGATAGATCGCCCCATCCTCCCCCATCCACCCAGACCCAAAACGTCCGCGGGGCCGGCCGTCTTGACGGACTGGACGAGGTCGGTCGACGGACGAGGAGCGAGGTCGGTCTGACCGTCTCAGTCAGTCGAAGATACAGTCTTTGCGAAAGAGGATAGAGAAGGAGTCGGGACCTTGGGTCTACCCCAAGCCACACAGGGAACCGAGCACGCACTCGTTTCCTCCAGATGGCTAGGGAAAAAGAACAGGGGTGATGGTCTATTCCGTTCTCCAAGGTGCCCTTGATGGATTTCATGAACCACTGGACGCCCACGAGGAGCACATCAGAGCGCCTTGCAAGCAACATCCCTGCAGAACCAGATCGATAGAAAGATAATGAAAGATAGATAGAAGATGATAAAGGCAGATTGAAAGATAACAAGTATATACATAGGACATCATAGGACACATGATAGATCGACCAGTTGATCAGTTGGTGGATTTCTTTGTTGACTGAGGTGCTCTAGGATCAATGTGCCTGCTCAGGCCCAGCCAAGAACCTGTCCAGCCAACCCGTGCCCCCGACCTCTGAGCCTAGGGGCCTAAGGGGCCTGGACGCAAGCGAACCAACGGATCTTTTCCATTGGAGTTGGATTCTAAGGGTTGGAACGTCTCATCAGATTCTGGACCTGAAAGCAGTCGCACCAAAAGCCCATCAGCTTCGCAGCTATCATGTTTCGGACGATTTTGGCTGTCGGCTGGTTGCGTCTTTAAGAGAATCCCCGTTTGAAGTGAAAAGCACTGAACGACATCCTTCATCTCACCCAGGACTTGGTCCTGCTTCTATGAGATTGCCAGCGATCACCTCGCCGTACGAGCGGACGCTTTGCTTCGGGTCTACCGTGCGGGGGGTTGCTGTTGGGACGGGTGGCACGTGTTGCGGGGTCGCACACCGCTCGTGGTTTTCACCGGCAACCCTTAGGCCCCTTTGAGTCACTTAAAAACTCATCCAAAGAGCAGGAGTTTGCTATCCCTCCCTGACTGGACTTGGTCATACAAAACACCGAAAAGAACTACTCAAGGAGATCAAAGACCAGGTTTTACTGACCCAGACCGGGCGTACGCAGGGTCCGGTTTTTTTGATCGATTGACCTGCCACTGGTCCATTTGGGCAGATGGACTCAGGCTTTCCTGGGTGGCGGACGCGAGGGGAATGTGTGTGTATGTTTCTTCATACCAAAAACACGGACCTTGGAGCCTTAGACTGTCAGTAGGTTGGAGGCCATCGCTAGTAGCGGACGTCGGTGGTCTTCATACCCAAAACACATCGTCTCGTCACGACTTTCAGGGCCGTCGGGTCTCCTGGACGGGTCCGGTCCAGGTCCCGTCGGGTCGGAAGACCTGTGTGTTCCACGGTCCGTTGGACGAGGGAGTTGGTCCGCAGAAGCGTTCGGCGGCGGGGGTTGAGGCGTGAACTGGCGACCAATCCCATTCGGTTGGGCCGGTTGAGGTCTTCATGGTTTCCCCAGCTTCCTGGGCTTCTCGCTTGGCATCAGGGTTCCTGGGTTCGGGTTTTTGGGCGCGTCCGAATCAGCCACTTCTCGGGCGCCGGAGGATCCCCATGGAGGATCCCCAATCGCTTCAGGAGAGAGCGATTTCCAAAGGCGAAGAGCTGACCTTGCTCTATGGCGAATTTTCCGATGCCCAGCTGCTTTGCAACTATGGTATCTGCCCTGAGATGCCCTGCAGGACCCGAAAGGCGTGCGGAAAGATGAGTTGTTTCAGAATCACACACTCAGGATCCTGAGCTTGACATGCCAAGCACCCTCTTTTCATACGTGCTGGGAGTCCAAGACTCCTCTTAAACATGGCCTTTTTCGTGACCCTCACTCTCTGGAATTTCCTTCATCTCGGTGCTGCATATCGTTGAACTGGACCTCGGCTTCACTTCTAAGTCTCCCATACCTCTGGCCGTTCCTGGCCACGCACGAGGAACGGGGTGGAAACACATGCGGACGAACCCGGGTGTTTCAACACATGGGGGGTGAAAAACAGATCATACCTGGAAACCCAAATGACCGGAAACACATGGTTGTTGCAAGTTCTGGCACTCCTTTACACAGCCAGCAAATGGCTGGGGAGTTCCATCCATTTATTTCTGCTTGGGACTGGAGGACATCCAGGTACAACTGCTGGTACAACTACCGTCGCTCCCCCGGGGTCCTTTGTTTTACCTTTTTGAGCGTGTGGAAAGTTCGGTCAAACCTGTATGTTCCAGGGACACTGAAGGTGGAACCGGTCATGTTCCTTCGCCAGTGGGCTGCCGCTCGATGTGTTTTGGCCAGCTTGAACCTGAGCAAGAGAGCAAGGGAGCAGCGGCGTGCAGCGTGCAGCGTTCGTCTCAGGGAGCGCGACATCTCTCAGTCAGCAGCAGCTCTTTTTGTTGTTTTGTGATGTTTTGTGGTAGCATGCTGTACAAAGGACGGGAGTTCATCATCAAAAGTAAAGTCAACATTTCATGTTTAGCTACAATAGACGTATACAGTATAGTGAAACTTCTGAATTCTACAGACATTTGCAAGTTGCAGACACTTACTAGCGGAAGTCATTTGTAACCTATTTTGTTATTTCGAAAAACTGTTTTGACATAGACTCTGGCTCTGCGTATTGACACCAGAAACATGTTTACATGCTTTGTAGAAAGATGGCTTTCGTTTGTCGAACAGGTCCTCGACTCCTTCTATCCATGCCGCATGCCGCTACCCATTCTAACGTTCCGCCCGGGTCACCGATTTCACACCAGGGTGTTGCCTCAGAGATCCTATTTCGCCGCAGAACATCTCAGATTGGCCACATAGTGAACAAGACATACACCCTGGAAGATTAACATAGACATAGAACCTGAGAACCACTGGGTTGTAGAGGAAAGTAGTCTTCCAAAAGGTCCATTTTCAGGTTCCATGTTAATCTTCCCGGGTGTAGTTTCTTTTCGTGTTCCAGTCGCAGCTTTTCTTTCAGCGACTGGGGTGTCCAAATATGGGCGCCACTCTGATGCGGCAAAGCCCGACACCGCTGGTTCTTTATTCACCTCGCGTTGGGCATCCGGCGAAGAAACAGATATGTATCACTTATACATCACTGTCCTATCTACCACTGTCCGGCAGTTTGGGCCCAGACTCTGTCCCCACGATTCGATGTTCCGAACTGTGTGACCGGGCCGTGATGCTGGGCTCCCAGTGGGTGCGTCGCGGTCAGGCCGGGCACCCGGGGCCGTGCCACCCCCCCGAAGAGGCGCCGAAGGGGCGCCGACCGGTTCACGAGGAAAACCGGACATCCTCTACACCCAAAAAGGGGGCATCCGGCGAAGCGGCTAAGAGCGGCTAAGAAGCAAACAGAACAAAACACTGTTCAGAGAACATATGCCAACTCTATGGTGGCCTTATTGTGTTTGATTTGTTCTTTAATGTCTCCAAATCCCTGCAGGTCTGCTCTGAACAAAATTTGACAGACATTAGCCCAAGAACCTAGAGTTTGGAGGTGTCAAGCAGAATTCACCTCAAGTTTGGGGTCCCGCAGCGCCGCAGGAATGCCTTTGATGAAGCTGCTGTGAGTATCGGGCCTTATGCTACTTGGCTGTCACACGCGTCAGCTTCGCGTCGCGGGCGCTGGCACTCCGTCGGCGTGGGCGTCAGCGAAAGCAGCGGCGGCCGGACCAGGATCGGGGTGGAACTGGCCGGGCCCCCTATGCCTACCCAGGAAAAGTGGATAACCTTTAACCTTTCTTGGGGATTGGGGAAACCCCACTCATATGAACAGATGAACAACGGTTAACCTTCTTTTCAAGGAGTCACTAGGGTTTGCCCGAACCCCCATTCGAGATTGGTTATCTATTGGAAGGACGAGAAGAACTGTGGAGTTGGGCGACCCCTTTTTCTTTTCTGGAAGACATTCCGGAAGATCCCATGAAATCATCTGAGACTGGAAGCTCTTTGGCGTCAACCTGACCATTTTGGCGTCCACCTGAGTCTGGTTCTGGGTGATCCCGACTTCATCAAGGAACCAGTAGTTTGGGGGGAATAGAACATGCCAATCCGCAATCCATCAAAGATCTTGATCTATACTTAAGGAAAGTGAGATAGGACCTGTGAAACGCTCGGTGGGAACAACATACCTATGTCATTCGGAAAGAACCTATATGCCACACCACCTATCTCATCAGGTCAAAACACCGAAATGACCCTTGCACACACACACACACATTTATGTTGTCTCAATTTGTCTCATAAATTTTTGAGGTTTGAGGAGGTATTCGACTTTAAACCACGCATGACCTAGGAGTAATGCCACCAACATAGCATGTGGCAACTAGGGGATGAGATAGGAAAGCGATTGTTTAAATATCAGAGCGACAACCTAGTTTTTTCCAGTTGGAACAACTCAGGTAGCGCTCCTAAGTCATGGAAGCTTTCATCAGTTGAGTCATATTTTCTCCTTGGGCACGATATTCTATTTGTTTGGAGTTATGTACTGGCAAACCGTCCACACCTCCTATGTCATCCTACTGTGTCCTATATTTGGCAACCTTATCTATACTGACTGATCACTTTCCCACGCTGCGGCCCACAACTCCTACGTCAGTAGCCGCCCAGCCAGTTCCATGTCATTAGCCCTCCGCATAGTCATAGGGTACTTGCGTTTCGATGGCACAGACCGCATGATGTCCTGAACAGATGGGGGTCCATAGAAGCCACCTCTTGGGGTCTGTGCCATCTACTCTCAATCCACAAGAAGTTGCATTCATCGGTGGATCACGTCTTTGCGAAGGTCTTGTCCTCTCCAGCTGGTGAGGAAGCTGCCGCCCCCGACGGTGCGCTCGTGGCCGCGCGTGCAGCTCCTTGGTCGAAATAGACCTGATGTGCAAAAACTGAGACTTTTCTCTAGCCATTTCACATACCAGCACCATTCAGCACCCTAAGTTGGAGGTCTCCGAAATGGAAGTGGTCCTGGTAGAACAGCCTTTGGACTGGCAATGCCGATGTGGGATCTTTCGGAGGTCTCTCGAGACCTCTGCGTCACGTGCTGGGCGTGTTCCGACGAGTGACCGGCGAACCAAAGGGATGAGATGAACCGATTGCTCTGTGGGCAGAACCCTCAGTCTCACCGAAGACCGCTTTGGGACGTCACCTTTCACCTTGCCACTTCAACGGTTGGCTGAGAGGGTTTGCTAGCTACCGGCCTTGACGTCTTGCAGTGGTTTCGGAGGTGAAGCATGCCACGTTTTCCCTAAGATGTCCTGAAAAGATAGGGGGTCCATGCCGGTTGTGTAGCTCAAATATGGAGACCTGGACAAGTTCGACCCCTTCTAAGGTTCGGACGATAGACCCCGTCTACCCAGTCAGGGTGGATTTGCCCCCCCCTATAAACATGAACACCCGCTGTAAATCACCGACAGTTGGGGGCCTTTGTGCCATCTGAAACCACCGACCTTTTTCGTGGCAACCCTTGTGATCGATCCGGCCCTTGCAATCTGACAGATGACAGCTTTCCACGTCCAGTCTGACCCAGGTCCAAACCTGGTCTTTACCTTCTGGAGGTTTTGTTTTTGAGTAACCAAGTTCAGTAAAATGAGGTCTTTGAGCAGTAGGGTTGATGACATCAAGCTTCAGGCGGTGAGGCGTGAGCCATATAGAGAGTGACCAGAACTTGCTGTTTGGTCCTTTTGTACCTTGAAAAGGACCTCCACACCCCAAGCCAATTCAGACTCCTCAAGGATCCAACATTGCTGTGCCAAGCCGTGCAAACCCAACTCCTCAAGCCTCAAACAGAAGGGGCGTCCTTTTCCTCCACTGCCCGCTACGCGGGTTTCCCGTGTTCTCCCGTTGGCTCTTCGCTACGCCCGTGGGCGGCCGCCGGCGAAGTCAGGCCTGTCTGGCGCGGCATGGCTGGGCCTTGCAGCAGAAGCTCGTCTTCCGAGTGCCCCAAGAGCTTCGACCCTCAGGAGGAGATCGGGTCGGACCTGCGCACGAGGAAGGGCGAGGCGAGCGAAGCTGGGGAAGAGCAGGGGCAGAGGCGAGGTGGGGCAATCGAATTTGTTGGAGATGCAGTGAGTTCTTTTTGGGTAAATGGCTGGTGAATAGCATCCCCCATATGAAGAGGCTTTAGAGCTGTCGGGCTCAAAACCTTCAGCTCAGGGTTGCGGGCACCCGGGGAGGCGCGGCTTTCTTCACGGAAAGCGTGCCTCGTCCAACAAGGCGGTCGCCCAACCCCGCCGGCCCCTTTGTGTGGCTTTTGTCTCCGTGATCCCTCCTTGCTGTGTGATCTCGCCATGTCCCGTGCTCCCTTGTTGGAACCTTTTGCTTCTCGATGGGATTCCCTCAATGTCGCTTTTGGCAAATCTGGCTTCCTCATCCCCTTGAAGGAGCAGTTTTGCTGGGCAGGGACGATCCTTGAATGTGAGTCGGACATTCTCAAGATGCACCTTCATCGATACACGCCAGGCCGTGGGTTTGTGAAGAGTCTGCATGACCAAAAGTGTGTTTCGATCCACATCCCGAATCTTGGATCCAGAGCTCTTCACCTTTTTCAGGGTTTGGAAATTGTTGGTTGGGGTTCCCTTGTCGCCCCGGGGACGAGTGAACATTGGTTCTTCAATGAACATACTGTTGTGGTTCCAAAGCCAGATGCTGATCCTGATCTTGCCCTCAATGTGATTCACCTTTTTGCTGGCGCTTTTGCTGGCTGGGAACAAGCCGCTTCTTGGCTGCCTAAAGCAAACATTGGTCAGACTATTGGTCAGCAGATCGCAGTTGATAGAGACGATGTTGTCATGGCGACCCTCGCTCAAAAGCATGGCATCCGCTGCTACCGTACTCCCTTTTGTTGGGGTTCTGGGTTCCGTTGACGATTTCAGCATTTTGAACCTCTGTTTGAACCGTGGAAATGTCATCGTTACCCTTTCACCTCCTTGTCCAACTTGGAGCCGGGCAGGCAAATCCCAGGGTTTGAACCATGAAGGAGGCTGGGCCTTCCTTGAGGCCCTCAAACTATGCTTCGTCATCCAGCCTGTTTTTATCGCCGCTGAGTGTGTCGATGATATCACATCTCATCCACACTATGGGTATATTCAGGACTTTTTGACCACGATCGGCTATGCTCGGATTTTTTGACCAGGTTACTCCTCATCATCAAGTTTCCAACCACACCAGGTCTCGCTGGTTGTCCACGTGGGTGCGACGTGACATTGATGCCATGCCTGTTGCAAATTCATTCATTCCTATGGTTTTTCCTCGGGAGCCCTGGACTAGCCAGTTGTATGAGTTTCCAGTTCCTCGGGTGTGGGCTGACCAACTCCGGCTGTCACCCTCTGAGCTTGAGTTTTATGCCGATCCGCTCTTGCTGCCACCAGCCAAAAGGAGCCGCGTCAATTATGATGCCAAACCGTCTCAAGTCATTGAACTCAGGTTTCCCTCTGGCTCTGAGCCATTGCCCACGTTATGTGCTTCGTACACCAACCAACACATGTTGCAAATTGACCATATTCGAGGCAAAGGCATTTTCGCGGTCCTCGATCAACATGCTAGAGGTATTTCATTCTTTGATCCTGCAAAGTTCTGCTCCCTTTTTGGAGCCTGTGAACTTATTGTTCTCCCCTCCAAGCTTCAGGAAGCTTTCAAATGTGTAGGAAATGCCATCACGGTTCAACACGGTCTTATTCCTCTTTTGTTTGGCATTCAAGCTGTGTTCAAACAACCGTTGGACTTGCACAACCTTGTCAAGCAATCATGGAATGCAAGGCTCACGAGTGTGAATTCGATCATCTTTCATCAAGGTGACTTCGTGTTCATTGAGAAGATCGAACAAGCTGTTATCAGTTTTCTCTCACCGCAGTCACCTCTCG